CGCAGTACACCTCAACGTGCTTCTGAGCAATACCCAACTATCGTTGAAAAAGTGAATCAGAGCCAAATCTTCAACAAATCTCCACCTTGGTGAGGATTCTCCATCCAACATAGTGATCAATCAACACTGCTATGCACCCGAAGGTGCTCAGTTTCAAGAGATGTTGACCAAGTCCAAAAATTGTTGGAACTTGATCCCAGAAACCACTTTTGCGAGCATGTCGGCCGGATTATTTGCAATACTAATCTTTTGAAGAAGAATATCTCCTTCATTCATAATTTCATGGATAAAATGGAAACGGACATCAATGTGCTTGGTGTGAGAATGATGAACCTGGTTCCTTGCCAAACAAATGGCACTTTGACTGTCGCAGTACACCTCAACGTGCTTCTGAGCAATACCCAAGTCCTCAATTAACCCATGTAGCCAAATAGGTTCCTTAAAGGCTTCTGTCACTGCCATGTACTCTGCCTCTGTAGTAGACAAAGCCACCGTTGACTGAAGCGTTGACCTGCAACTCACCGGCCCTTTAGCAAGCGTAAATAAATACCCTGTTGTTGACCGGCGTTGGTCCAAGTCACCAGCATAATCTAAGTCCACATATCCAACCAAATTCTGTCCAAGTCGGCTATCTCTCTTGAACTTCAATCCCAGATTAACCATGCCATGTTTGTACCTTAGGATCCATTTCACTGCCTGCTAGTGACCTTTCCCTAGATCATGCATATACTTGCTTACCATACTCATAGCATGTGAGATGTTTGGCTTTGTACAAACCATAGAATACATTAATGCACTGACTGCATTTGCATATGGAACCTGTGTCAAATGCGTGCCATACGCTTCCATTCTTCTTCTATGCATGGAGACATTGAAGCACTAAGCTTGAAATAAGGGTCCAACAGTGTACTCACAGCTTTTGCTTTCCCATTTATGCCAAATCTATCTAACACCTTTTTCAAATATTGGGTTTAAGTCAGACAAACTGTGCTCTTCTTCCTGTCTCCATGCCAATAATTTTCTTTGCTTCGCCAAGATCCTTCATTTCGAACTCTCCTGCCAACTGTGTCTTGAGTTTATAAATCTGCATCTTGCTCTTAGATGTAATCAACATATCATCTACATATAAGAGCAAATAGATAAAAGAACCATCGAAAAGCTTACGAAAATATACACAATGATCATACTGGCCTCTTATGTATTTCTTTTCTGTCATGAACTATCAAATCACTTATACCACTATCTCAGGGATTGCTTCAACCCATACAACGATTTGTTTAGCTTCCAGGCCTAATTCTCTTTTCTAGCAACTTTGAAACCATTTGGTTGGGACATGTATATCTCCTATTCAAGATCTCCATGTAAGAAGGCAGTTTTGACATCAAGTTGGGCGAGCTCGAGATCAAATTGTGCAACCAAAGCTAGCAAGATACGAATAGACGTATGCTTCACAACAGGTGAGAATAACTCATCGTAGTCTATTCTTCGTTCTGGGCATAGGCTTTAGCTACCAATCTAGCTTTGAATCTGATGTTGTCTCTGCCTAGGATGCCTCCCTTCTTGGTGTAAACCCACTTATACTCAATTGTTTTCTTACCTTTTAGAAGTTACACCAACTCTCAAGTCTGGTTCTTGTGAAGTGACCCAATCTCTTCATCCGTAGCCTCCTTTAATTGACACTTTATGCATTCTGCACGGCTTCTCTGAAAGTGCACGAAACTTTATCTTCAATGATTGGAACTACAAAGGCCACCATATCAGTCATCCAACCAGGTTGCTTAGTAGCCCTTTTTCCTTTTCTGGTTGCAATAGGTTTTTATTGTTGTGGGGCCTCTTGAACTAGATCTTTATTATCATCTGAACTCTCTTCAGGATTGTTGACTATCTGAATAGTCTTTGATGGAGTCTCAAACTCCACCTGCACTGACTTCTTCAATACTTCCTCAATCTCTTGAGGATTTGGCTGCTTCAACATTGTAGACTTATCAATGGTAACGTCTCTTCTAGTGACAACTTTCTCTGATTCAGGGCACCAGATTCTGTAACATGAAAATAAGCTGGACATCTGAAGATATGTAGCTAATCATAATCAGTAACTAGCGCTCTTGACCATACCTATATGGGAGGCTTGCCATCTAGTGTTGTAGTAGGTAATCTGTTGACAAGATGACAAGCATAGTTCAACGCCTCACCCCAAAAAGCCTTGCTCAATCCTAAATGTGACAACATACACCGGACTTTTTCCACCAAAGTACGGTTCATGCATTCTGTAACTCTATTTTGTTGTGGCGTTCCGCCAACTGTGAAATGTCTCACTATCCCTTCATTCTACAAACCTCAAAAAAGGGATCAGATGTGTATTCACCGCCATTGTCAAATCTAAGCTTCTTGATCTTTCTGCATGTCTGGGTCTCAATCATTTTCTTCTACATAAGAAAGATGTCTAATACTTCATTTTTATGCTTCATTGTGTAAACCCATACTCTTGTTGAGAAATCATCAATGAACGACACAAAGTAGTGTTTACCTTCCAAAGAAGCATAAAAATGAAGTATTAGACATCTTTCTTATGTAGAAGAAAATGATTGTGAATGTAGTCCAGAATCTCTTTGGTACCATAAATGGAAATACCAAACTTGATTCTTGTTTGCTTTCCCAGTACACAATGCTCGCAGAACTCTAGCTTCCTTGTTTTGGCGCCTTTCAACAGGCCTTGCTTTACCAACCCTTATAAAGCTTTCTCACCGACATGCCCTAGGCACATGTGCCAAAGTCTAAAAGTGTCTGATACATCATCCTCTGAGCCAGTGGTGACAACCACTCTCCCTGTGACTATAGAGCCGCCTAGGAAATATAATTTTCCCTTTCGAATACCCTTCATTGCAACAAATGCTCCTCGTACCACTTTGAGAACTCCACATTCAACAGTTACTCTGTAACCTTTGGAGTCTAAAACTCTCACTAAGATGAGATTCTTTGTCAAATCCGGTACATACCGAACATCTTCAAGAATTATGACTGTTTCATCTCGTATCTTTAACCGAATTGTTCCAATCCTTTTTGTTCAGCAAGCTTGGTCGTTGCCCATCAGCACAACGACTCCATCGAACTCTCGTAAGCTCGAGAACTACTGCTTGTTAGGACACATGTGGTAGGAACATCCGGAATCTAGAATCCATTCATCAGAATGGCCAAGTGATGAAACTGTGAAGGCTGATCCTTCACCATTTATCTCCATCTCGTGCAACGTTCACATTTCTATCTTTCTTGTCTTTATTAGGACAATCTTTTTCCCAATGCCCCTTCTGGCGACATGCAGCACACTCGTCTTTTGCAAGACGTCTTTTGTCTGATGATCTCCCTTTGGATTTTGAGCGAGACTTTCCCCACCCTGTATATCTTCTATTATTTGTCCTACCTCTGACTGTCAATGCCTCTAATGCTGAGTCCCTGTTTGCAAACTTATCTTTGCTTCTGAACTCATTATTTACCAAGGTATTTGAAACATCAAAAAACTTGATCTTTTATTTACCATACAGTAAAATGGTAGTGAGATGATCATATGTGTCAGGCAAGGAATTCAACAATAACAATACTTTATCTTCATTATCGATTTGAACATCTAGGTTTTTCAAATCAACAAGAATTTTGTTGAAATTGTTTAGGTGTTCATTCATCGAAATACCTTTCTTGTAATTAAAACGAAACAATCTCTTCTTCAAGTAGAGCTAGTTCTCAATGCTCTTTGTCATGAACTTGTCTTCCAACGCCTTCTAAAGCTCCTTTGCAGTATCATATTCTGTGAATGCATACTTTTCTTCTTTTGCAAGGCAAAGTCTGATGGAACTGCAGGCCAGGAGATTAACTTTCTCCCATTCTATCTCGTCCAAGTCATTTGGTTTGTCTCCCAGAGTGAAGTGCAGGTTCACCTGGACAAGCTTATCTTTAACTTCACATCTCTACATGCCAAAGTTGTTGCTTCTATCAAACTTTTCTACTTCAAACTTAGATTGGGACACCGGGGTCCCAATGCAAGAAGGGTATTGAGCTCGGACTCGAATAGATGAAATGATTCGAGAGCCTCCCTATTGAGCTTTGTGGGAACGATGTGATATTCAAGGAGAGTGAATGGAGGTTGTGGGTACTTGAGAGAGAAGAAAGCATTGTCAGTAGGGCAGAATATGGTAAGAGTGATGTTGTCTTTATTGATTAGGTCAAAAGGAATCAAAGTTGAGAGAGTTTGCACTCATATCATCGACATTGTTATGTAACGCTTGTTGGAGAGAGAACTTGAAATCTTGGAAACTTCGAAGCCATAAAGGCCTTTTTCTTCGGCTGCACTTGTAACTGGAAAGCTTGAGAGAATTGAGTGAAAAAGAAGAAAAAGAAGAATTACAAAGGTGATAGTGAGCTTGGAAGCCATCATAGGAATGAAAGAATAAAAGACATAAAGCTATAACTACCGCTGTTACTGCAAATCTATAACTTGACTAAACCTTTATACTTTTCTATATATATACACACTTACATAGATCTCTAATGCTATTTGCATTGGGTTTTGCTTTATGGATTTAAAATGGATTGATGTAGTGCAAACTTATGCCCCAAAGGACCTAAAAATTGAGCTAACAAATTAGGATCCTTTTAAAAATAAAGAAATAAAATAAAAGAATGTTTTTTGTGAGACATAAAGATAGTAAGTTCACATTAATAAAAACACTTCCATTTATTAAAGTTTTTTTTAAAAAATTAAAAAAAAAATCTATTGGACAGTGGTTGGTAGGTTCCTAAACGTGTGATTGTTTTTGAAAAATCTGATCAACTAGGTTTTCTAATCCCAATGGGACAAGGTTTCAATGTACTTATATAAAAGTCCTAGTTTGGGTTAACAATCTATATGGATATTGCATTCTACAATACATAAATCGCTTTTAGCTCAGGCTTTACACCTTTCTCTACTCTTCTTCTACTTTTCCTCGTCAATCTGCTGTTTTTCCTTCATGGCCTCCAAGCTTTCGCTCGCCTTTCTTCTTCTTGTTTTTCTTTCAATCCTTTCACAGCCCATTATTTCAACAGCTGCGAAAACAAACCATCATGATCATGGGTTGAATGTTGGGATGATCTCAAGTGCCCTAGCCAACAAAGGTTACATAGCCATGTCCTTAATTCTCGAACAAACCCTCCCTACATTGATACCTTTCGAAGTAACCCACAATACTATAATCACCATATTTTGCCCACTTGATAATGCTTTCTTGTCTTCCAAGTACCCTTAGCCACCATTCACTCTCCTGCAGTACCATGTTGCACTGTTAAAGCTTGATACGAAGGCTCTTCAGTTGTCTCTTCCATACGAATCCAAGGTCGATACTCTCCTTTCCCATCACCCACTTGTGGTTACTACAACACGCCATCATAGTGATTGCACTTCCATTAATGGAGTCAAGGTCACAGATTGGGATATCTACAACGATGGACATGTGATCGTTCATGGGGTAGAGGACTTCATTGATCCTGCATTCCAGACCCTTCTATATCCATGGTACGACAGTAGGTCACAAAGAATGAGAATGAGAATGAGAATGAGAGCAGAACTGGAAAGGATTCAAATGTAGAGTTGAGCAGGCTTTCTTTGTTGAAAGAGATGATGATGGAGCAGAGGTTTTTTCTCATGGCGGCAAGTCTTGTCTTCGCTGGATCATGTCTTTCTCTTGCTTGCCTCCATCACTGGAATTGTCAAGATAGTGGATATGTTTACAGTAAGCCAAATGATGGTGTTTTGGTTTGAGAAAAAGAATTGATATTTCTTGGGAGCTTCATAGAATCATAGTCTTGTGCAGTTTTTCATAAATTTTTATGAATGTTTTTATTTGTTAGACTGTTGTTTCATTCAGATTCAAAACTGCAAAAGAATACAACACTGTAATTGAGATATTACTAAGCTTTTATAAATTATGACAATTCCAATTAAGAAACATCTTTCCCTGTATTTTTTTGTGTTTTTTTTTTTTTGGTATACTTTTCCATATATATATATATATATACTACCAATTTGCATATGGGCTACATGTATGGAACATTATACAAATACAAAATGAATTTTATTGATTATGGCTTGTTGGGAATTTTTTATTTTATTTTTTGATGGTTTGTTGGTCTTTTAATTTACTGGGAATGGGGCTCCTTTTAAAAGTAAATCATTATTAGGGTTAAGATTCAATTAATGTATTATGAATCTTATATATAGATTGAATTTGAATCATATATTAATGTTTGAGAATAAGTTTTACACGGTAAAATCGAGTGAATTTTGTACATGGATATGGCATATCCATATTGTACTTTCCATTATTGTTGAGTGTTTAGGGAACACTAAGGGCATATATATTTGTGATTGATGGAAGGGCAGTGTCACTTGATACTCTATTGATATACAAAACTTTTTCTATATTTACGGAATAATCATAAGAAACTTAATCTCTTAATGTTTTTAAATAGTATTTCGAATGTGTAATATTTACAATGATCCACGATTTGTTGTTTGTGCCTGTGGTGAGCCATTGAATGTTATTAGAGTTTTTCAACAATTATTTATTTATTTAGTTTTTTATCAGAAAGATTACAAGAAATTAGTAGGCTTTTTATGATGTTTGTGAGCACTAAGTTGTTATTTCAGTATAGTGATTGTTTTGAATTGTGTTTAATTTGAAAGAAGAATATTTGTTATCAATTTTGTCTTTGATTGCTTGGGATTTTGAACTTTACTGTCATTATTCTTGGAGGATTATCACACAATTAAGTTTTTACTTTGTTAGGCCTTTAGATTTTTTTATTATTATTTTTTTTTTCGGGGGAATCTGCTTCTTCATGTAGGATCTTTGCACAATAATTTTTTTATTCGGCCTTTATTATTAATTACCCATGAACAATAAGTTTTTATTTGAGGGTTAGTGGGTTTAACCACATCTAAAAAAAGTTTTTTTTTTATTTTTTTAAATTTTTAGTGATTTTTTTTTTTTTGAAATTATATTAAAAAAATTTACATTTTCAATCCATCTTTTCAAAACAAATCCAAAAAATACATTTGTTTTGAAAAATTCCAAAAAAAAAAAATTGAAAAAGTCAATAAACCAAAAAAAAAAAATCCACTATTTTTTGCTTATTTATGTCTTTTCTGAACTTTTTTTGAAATATTTTGAAATATATATATAATTTTTTGGTTCGTCTTATCAAGTTGAATCTAAAAACTAAAAACTTTTTAAACCAAATTAAGTTTTTATTTTGTTAGGCCTTTAGATTTTTTTTTTTTATTTTTTTTTTTTATTTTTTTTCGGGGGAATCTGCTTCTTCATGTAGGATCTTTGCACAATAATTTTTTTATTCGGCCTTTATTATTAATTACCCATGAACAATAAGTTTTTATTTGAGGGTTAGTGGGTTTAACCACATCTAAAAAAAGTTTTTTTTTTATTTTTTTAAATTTTTAGTGATTTTTTTTTTTTTGAAATTATATTAAAAAATTTTACATTTTCAATCCATCTTTTCAAAACAAATCCAAAAAATACATTTGTTTTGAAAATTTCCAAAAAAAAAAAATTGAAAAAGTCAATAAACCAAAAAAAAAAAAAAAATCCACTATTTTTTGCTTATTTATGTCTTTTCTGAACCTTTTTTGAAATATTTGGAAAAATATATATAATTTTTTGGTTCGTCTTATCAAGTTGAATCTAAAAACTAAAAACTTTTTTAAAAAATTTAAAAAAAATTCACTAAAGATTAAAATAATTCAAAAAAAATTTTAAAAAATAATAATAAAACTGATAAATTAGTTTTTTTAGTTTGTAGATTCTTCGAACAAAAATGATTTTTATAAGATTTTTTTTTAAAATGGGGATTTACATGTAAGAGCATCTCCAATGCACTAGGTATATAATACTTGTTAGTTAAAATGCCTAGTGTGATTCACTTTTTTCAATTCCAACGCACTAGGCATATGATTAGGCATTTTACCTCAACTCATATTCACTAGCTACATGTAGCTAGCCTTCAACGCTAGGCAAAATGTATTCAATCATTAGGATCATTTCCCTCCATCTTTGTTGTTGACGTGGTATTCTATAAAATTAATAGTATTTGGATTAATAGCTAAAATAAATAGCATGGTTGGAGTAAAAACATAAAACAGTTGATTGGCAAAATAAAATATATACTTTATAGTAATATTTAGATAGGTAAAATGCCTACTACCGTTGGAGATGCTTATTATCCAATAAGTTCTATGATAATTAAGGATATTTTTATCTTATTAAAAAATATCACTAATTGTTAATTTTTAGCGATGATTTGAAAATTTTGTCACAAAAATGTCTCACAAATTATGAGTTTTAGCGACAGTTTTAAAAAATCATCCTAAAACAATGTCAATAATTTTTAACTTTTAGCGATAATTTGAAAAATTCATCCTAGAAAAACGTTACTAATTGTAAGTTTTAACGACAATTTGTAAAAATTATGACAAAAAAAGTCACTAATTGTCAAATTTTTAACAATATATGTAAAAAATCATCACAAAATTATTTTTAGCGACAATTTTATTAGAATATATTTTTAATAAGATTTGATGAGAATTTATTTCAACTATTAGGATCTATTGGTAATTTACCCTTTAAAAAATAGCAAGGGAACTAACTGAAAAATCCTATGTGTACCAATAAGTCCTCTAGACTATTTGGTGCATTAAAAAATTATGTTCACCTTTTAACAACAAAATCCATTTTAGCAGCGTTTTCGTAAATAAATAAAAAAATGTTACTAATTGTTATTTTTTAGCGACTGTTTAAAAAATTCATCAAAGAATAACTTCATTAATTGTTAATTTTTAGCGACATATTTAAAAAATTGTTATAGAGAAACATCATCAATTATCATTTTTAGCAATATATTTAGAAAATTGTCATAGAAAAATATCATTAATTGTTAGATTTTAGCAATAGATTCATAAAATAGTCACTAAAAATTATTTTTAGCGACGATTCTAATAGAATCAACTTTCAAAGATGAATCGATAGGACTTTTAATGGGATATATATAAATACTTGTGAGATAAAATTGGACCTATGAGTAATTAACTCAACTGTCAAAGATAAAATTTTATATCTTAAAAAAAATTGTGGCCGTAGTTCGCTCACTAAGGCATGAGCCGGCCACAAAATTTCAGGACTAGGCACGGTTAATGGGTCGGTCCGGGTCTGTTATGTGATAAAACCCAGACCCTATTTACGGACTTAAAAATATGAAGTTATGATTTTGGATCGAAGTGGCCCGTATGGGCTTAATATGAATTTTATTGAGGTAATTACATCATGGTGGAGTTTGTTTTGAGAGATTAAGTTATGCGGTTGGATTAATAGTTTATTTGAATTAATAGTCTATTATTTGGTTCAAAATTTTTGTACCGGACTTTTAGTTCCAAATCTGTTAGACTATTGTGTCCTATGGGGGGTGGGACATTAATGAGGGATAAGGGGGATATAGGATTAGGAAGTGAAATCATCATTTTGATTCTCTACTATTTAATTATGTATTATATTTAGTAAAATTTAATAAAATTTAAATGTCTCAATTTAAAAGTAAAATAATTTTATTTAATTTTTATTGATGTTTTATTTATTTAATTTTTTTATAGATATTTTATTGATGTTTTATTTTAAAATTTTGTTTATATTTTATTTAATTTCATTATTTAAATGTTAATTTTATTTAACTTTTTATTGATGTTTTATTTATTTAATTTTTTAAAATAATTTTTTATAGATATTTTATTTTAAAATTTTGTTTATATTTTTATTTAATTTCATTATTTAAATTTTAATAGATGTTTTATTTGATTTTATTATTTAATTATTATTATTTTTTAAAATAAATTTATTTAAAATTTTAATTAAAAAATAACATTTATTTTTATTGATATTTTATTTATTTAATTTATTGAATTAAAAAAAATAAATTTAGTTAATTGTGTAAAAAATAAAATAAAATAATTTTTTTATTAATCTAGCTAAAAATAATTAAAATATTAAAGATATGTTTAATATTGCTATTACTTAGTAAATAATTGAAAATGGTAAAATAGTCATTTGAGCATTTATCATTCTCCATAATATCCCAAACAAACATAGGATTCATATCACATCTAACAAAATAGTTATTTCCTGACATTAAATCTCATGACTAAACAAACATGAGATACAAATTCAGTCCAACCAAATAATCCGGAGACAATGTATCACAAGACTAACAATCTGGTGGATTCCAGTCTTCCCTTATCTAGTCTGTCCAAACAAACACACCCTAGGGGTGTTCGCGGTTCGATTGCAGTCAAAAAAATTTTAATTCGCCACCTGTCTGCCGGATTGAGCAGATTGGCGGATTAGCAAATGGATGCGAAAGTTTAAACTTTTATAAATTTTGAACATAATACAACTTGTCAACATTTTTTTTTTTTAATAACAATCCAACTCAACATAACCAAAAGATTATCAAGTAAATTGTCAAATACCAATAATAAATACATATAAGAAAACCATGCATTATCAAAACTAGTTCATTACTTTTT